GAATTGATTCTTGAAATAATGTGGAAGGAATTTCATTGGCTAGGGACAGAAGTTACACATAAAGTAGTTTAAGTGATCAGAAACTGGTTTAAACCTGTAACAGAACAGAAGTTCAGTGCACTTAAACCAGTTTCAAAATGGCCGAAACTGTTTTAAGATAAACCTAGTTGAATGTACTATCAGACTTAGTTGATTTGGTCAAACTGGTTTAAGGAATTTCCGTCCCAGACCCCTTCCTGGTTTAAGTTAAATCCGAGTCTCCCAGCATCCCAGTATGCTTTTCATCCCTGGGCTGGGCTATGCTGCCTGTGCCAGAGAACAGGGCTGGCCCTGCTCCTCTGCTCTCCAGACAGCACAGGGGCGTGACCGGAAGCCAGCCCAGCACGGCCCCCTAAGGCGAAGGGGCAGGGAGGGGATTTATTTCCTCTCCCATCTCTCCCTAGGACACTGCAGCTAGGGTCTGCCTAGAAGGGCAGAGCAGCCCCTGTCAAGTTCCCACCCCCTTGCTCCTACAGTGGCAGGGGCAGAGGCATGGCCAGAGCTGGCCGGCATGGCCCCGCCATCCACCTGCCTTGCCAGTGGCTAAGGTCGAGGCTGAGGCTGAACCCCCTTCCCCCCCCAGCTTCCCTGCAGAAGGAAAGGGAGGGCTCTAGTGCCCTGAGCCACTGCAGGCATGTGCCTCCATTTCCGGAATCAAAAGTTAATGTCTATTCACTTGCTTGCTGGTTCAGTTTAGAGTAACCTGCAAAAATTGAATCAATTCAGGCTTGGGTTTTTTGAATGACTGTGTTTAGGCTGTGTGATCACAAGACTATGCTTAGCTTTTCAAAATCCAAACTGAACTTGAAGTGAGGAAATGAAATCCCTTATCTCTTCATTCCTACTCCTAAAAAAAAAAATCTAACCTGAAAAAAGGTTCAGTTTGGCAGGGACAAGTTTCATTTCTGTGGGGAAAAGGGAATGAAATTGCAATCCTACTTTGGGATTTAGATAAGTATTATTTAAAACCCAAACTAAGAAAACAGTATTAAAGGTATCCTGTCGATATATTACATGTACATTATATACTTGACCACAGGATTTTAGATTTCAGAGCAGACACTAAGCCAGAAGCAAGAATAAAGCACAAGATGAAAAAAGACTACTTAAAACGAAAGAGATGAATTGCTAAGGAGTGCTAACCAACCTGGCAGATGCTGAAGAGAGTTTGTGACCACGGAAGTAAAAAGCTGCTTGTGATGCTGCCACATTTACCAGCATTTACCATACTCCAAGACAAAACTTGACAGTAACAGAACTGCCAAGACTGGCATATTTGAAAAGAACCAAAATTTAAAAAAAACCCACCCCCGCCTCCATCCCACACACACTGTTTATTCAGCCGTGGGCACTAAAGCTATTCTTCAAAGTTTCCACATACTTGGTGCAATGTAAGAGGCTTGGTTTCATTTAGCAAATACAATCCTAGGACCATATTTCCCCATCATTTTTCATTTTTAAAAGGGACGACATTGTTTACTGCAATGCTTCACAAGATAATACACACCATGCTTGCCCTATTAAAATATAAATACAGAATGTGAAGTTCCAGTAAGAAAAGTTACAGCAGAAAGTAGAACCAGTTTGCACATTTCATTCTAAGCTTATTAATCAGGTACATGGTGATAATATTTAAGAGGGAGGGAGATTTTTAGCCCCAATGAAGGTTACTTGTGGGCCTAAGCTGCTGGTGTGCTTTTGAAAATCTTATCCTAATGCTTGTACGTAACAGCAGCAATATGCACAGCATATATACGAAGGTAATACCTTGCTGCTGGTACAGAGGGGAGACAGGGGAGTTTAATCCCCCTCCCTGCTCCCGCTTCACCTGAGGTGCTGCCTTGGGTGGTGTCTGCCCCCCCCACAGGGGACAAACCTGGCAGGGGCTGCTGCCCCCAATCCCCTCCAGGCACACCCCAGCTAGGGTCCCTGCAGGCCAGGGTGGGGGTTTAAACCCCTCCTCAATCATACTTAGCAGCCTGCCAGGACCTGACCATGCCTCCATCCAGGTCAGCTTCCCTCCAGCCTTGCCGCTGCTGTGAAAGGGAAGGGAGGGCTCACTCTAGCGCCCTCCAGCTTCTGGCCTGAGCCACTGCAAGCATTTGGCTACATTTCTGGAATCAAAAGTGAATGTCTATTCACTTGCAAATCAGTTCAATCTACACAGGTTAGAATAACCTGCAAAGATTGAATCAATTCAGGCTGAGGCTTAGCCACCATGCATAGTAGGCCATAAGGGTATAGTAAGTTAGTATGGGTTACAAAACCTTTGGGTACAGACAAGGATATTTAGTTTTGTAATTTCCCTTCATTAGACAAGGAGAGCTTGGTTTTCTTCCTGCATGGGCAGGTCTGGGTCTTGGAAGAAAGGTAGCTGGTGAACACTTATTCTAGTTAAAACCAACATAATCCTTGGTAGATAAGGGAAGTATTGAGAGAAGAGGGCTAAATTTGTGGAACTTTGTTTGCAAAGCCTACCAGTTACATTTTCAAAGCCTACCAGTATGCATGTTGTGGATTTTTAATGTTTAAGTATGGATTGTAGGTGCCTATAGTATTTATGATTCAGGTAACTGGAAATAATATATATCCTCAGCCCTAAAGCAAGTCACATGGTTAAGGCTAGCCCTGGGAGGTATCGAATATCTGCAAAACGGCCTCTTTGCTCCTTCACTTTCCAATCTCCACTTTGAACATGTTGTAAGGTTGGTCCCTAACTATATACATTCACCATAGGAGATGCTGCTTCAAGGTAATTTTTCAGGCAGTTTTTTCTACCACTGAATTTCAGGTTTTTTCGAAGAATAAGGAAACCTGTAATACCCAACATGCATACCAATGTAGGACTTGATTACATAGTTCAGTTTATCTGCCTCCCTGGGGAACAGCAACAATAGAGCTAAACATACAGAAAATGCAGTAAGAAATTACTAGAATCAACGAACATGCAGTAAACAAGTAGCTAAATTTCTCAAAGGCATTTGAACACTGAAGTCCTTTTGCCTCACTGTTCCACTCTTTGTTTTCATGCTTTGCAGCCCTAGTGATGCTGTGCCAGAGGCAGCAGTAATTCTGGCCAATTAATCCTGTGATACAGAGAGGAGGAAAAAAAAAGCAAGACTAAAAATGTTCTCTATTGTTTATGGACCCGGAGAACTTCGGCCAAGATACTGGCAGGACCTTTCCCTGTTTATATAATAAGCTTGGAGGGGAGCTGAGCCTGTTGGTGCACAGAAGCTGCTGCCTTGCAACAGTCTTCTTCATTAACTACTTACTGCACATGGTTTGATAAATTTGACACTAATCCAAAAAAAAGCCCACTCAAAAAACATTCTTCCCAGTGTATGCAATATAAATTCAGGTTGCAGTTTGTGCACTTTTATCTTCTCTGTTTCTCCAATGCTTTGCTTTGCCTGATAGTTTTAGAATCAGGCCATATTTCCCTTTTGAAAAGAAAGTTAAGGTCAGATTGGGACTGGGCTTCCATGGATGTGCTTGCAGGAGGAGCATACAAGGAGCCAGTTCATCCTGTTTTCCAGGACCCATGCAAGAAGCAATTGCTCTAGATCAGCTGAATTCTGTATGGCTCCAAAATTCAGGTCTGGCTGAACTGAGCTTGGCAGCGGACCTGTTGCGGTGGTTGGCCAGCTAAGTATGGTTCTGTTCCTAATGGATCTTAGATTAGAGGCATCCTCAGCAGTTCCTAAGAGGTTATCTTTGGATAACCAACTGTGTCTTCTTTGATTATAGTATTTTTCTGTTTTTCTTTCATCTAGGACGCATGTCAAAACATTGTTTTAACAATAAATATAAGTGATGATAATAATAATTAGTTTCCCTTTCATTTGTATAGATTAATGCATTATACCCACATGGAGTTTCACATTTTGAATGAACACATTTTAACCTGTAGCCCCAAAACACTATATTACGTCCTTAGTTTCATGTGGGTAGCAGCACTGAAAAAGTGGACCTTGTGCAGCCTGAGAGGCAATTAAGATTATATTCCTGGTTATGTGAGAGATTCCTCACATGTAATATAGAGACAGTGCTGAAAAAATAATTTATAATATATCTGCCTTACTGAGAAGCTTAATACATTTATTACAGAGCTTTGTGATCCTCAGATGGAAGGCACCATAGAAATGCAAAGTATTATTTGTTTGAGATTAGAACCAAGAATAGAATGGGTTGTAACAGCCCAGTTTTCAAAGTTAAACACCTCAAATTAGGTATCTAAATTTGGTTTTAACAACCTGTATAAGCACTGCTTTTGTTACTAAACAACAACAATCTAGACAGGTAGATGTGAATCTCTAAATTTTGGCAACTGGTTTGAAACTTACATTAAGAAGCCCTAATACATTCTATATCTATATTTTCCTTACTTATCTATTCAGGATACATTTGTTATACCAAACCAGGCCATCAGGAGTTGCTGTTGCATTTTGTAATCTGCTTTTATTTTTTTGCATTACCAGTTCCCTTTTCTAATGTTGGCACAGAACTGTTATACAAAACATACATATATTTTCATGTCTTCCCAGGTGTTGCAGTTAGAAAGATCTTTACCACAATCATTCCTTATCTTAACACAGTAAAAGCACAGGTTATTTCACCATAGCTGTGCTTTCACTGTAAAATGAATTATATGATCTGTTTCTTGACAATGAAGGAAGAGAAAGATTTTCCAGTTGTATTAGTACTGCAGAGTAAGATTTTGCTGACCTGAATGTTTACATCATACTAGCACAGTGCAGGAAGCACCTGTTTGATGTTTTTCTTTTCCAGATTTTCTATGTAGAAATTGGAGCACACTAATACTTGATACACAGATTTATTCTGAATTGAGGCTGAGGCTTTGGTTAGATCCATGGTCAAAGTCAGATGGCACTGTCCCCTTCCAGCTCACCAGATTTCAATGGAAAAATCTATATAGGCAAGATCTGACTCAACTTGCACACATTCCTTCTGCAGCTTCTACTAAACAGCTACACCTTTCAGTGTCAACAGGTTGGATTTGTATTACCTGAGAAGCAGGAGGCCAGTGAGACCACAGGTTTTACCTTATGTGGGGGCAGAAGGGAAGAAACTGTTCCCACACTTCCAGTGTATCTACAAGGTGGAGAGGGAGAGGCAAAGCCCCTTGCAACTGTTTCTATTTCAGGGGTGATGTGCATAAAACGATAAGGAAATCTTAGAAATCCTTAGTCTTCCTACTTCTGTCCTGTGGTATTCTCCATGAGAGAAGAGTAGACCAGGATTTAAGCTTATAAAAATTAAAATGGTTATTCTCCTTACAACATTTCTGTAAAATTAATGGAGATTATTTGGCTCACACTTAGCTCAGATCCTTGATTAAACTTTGGGGTTCACCTTATAATGATAATGAGAGCTGGGGCTCATTTTGGGATTTTATGGTACCAAAATCTCATTATCCGCTTTTGACAATTCAGCCCTAAATGGTGGAAATCATGAGACCTAGCTGTTTATGAGATTGTAGCCAGCATAAATGCTTGGCAGCCTTACAAGATTAGCCCTTTGAATGGTAAATGTTTCATAAGACTTTGGCCCACATCTCAACCAGAAATAGAAAAACAGTCCCTCTGGCAGTGAAACCAATCCAATATTGCTTGGGTAGGATTAAATACAGAGAGTGGAATCTGATCTTCATCTCCACCCTCTGAACTCCAAAGAAGTGCAGACTCAAGATTGTAGTTATGTCCTCTCTCATTCCGATAAGGAATATTACAAAGGTGATCGATGTAGTGTACGAAAAGTATACTCTGCTGTCTGTATAAGTGAGAATAGGTAGGTTAGTGCTAGTTTTCTTTTCAACTAAATTCATTTTTAGATCTATTTATGAATGAGGAACAATGACTAAATGCAAACCACGTGTTCAGCACAGGAAAGAAGATAGACCAAGACCTGGTGGGAGCAACTGATCTCAGGCAGATGGTAGGATGGGGCTCTTCTAAAACCCATCACCCACAGTAGGAGATGAGTATCACGCAGGTTTTTCTTCCCATTTGTAAAGTTCTGTCATTCTACAAGTTCAATTTCTAGATGCACATCCTTTAAAATGGGTGGGCAAAGTGCGGCCCATAGGCTGGATTGGGCCTGTGGCAGACTCCATTTCCCAGCAGCCCCTCCCCACATCACTGTGGCCAGTTTCCATGGAGACCCCAGCAGCAGCCCAGCCATGACAGCCTTGGGCCAGAGTTTCCATGGACACCACCCCCAGTAGTGCTGGCGGGGTGCATGGCAGGGTGGGGAGCTGCTCTGGGGTTGCGATCTTGCGATGGTGACAGCATGGTCCGGAGCTGGAGCAGAACTGCGATCTGCTGCCAGCATGCCCCTGCCCTGTAGTATCTGGAGTTCCTTGTGAATAAATCTAAGCTCAAATATTTAAATAACAGTTTTACTAATTCTTTGACGGTCAGGTGTGTCTCTTTAAGATGTTCTTGCCCAGCTGCTCAGCTATGTTAGGTTTAGCAAAGGATCTAGAATTTTAAAAAACAGCAAGCACACAATTTCTTGACAGCTTAAGACAAACTGATTTTTAATCATACTGTACCTTAACAACACATCTAATAACTGAAGAAACTGATATCCCTATATCAGCAATAATCCAGTTGTCCTTCAGCACTGCTCCTGCATAGATCAACTCCAAATATCGTCTGCCTTGCTTGTCTTCGGAAAGGGGGACATGGAAATAATCCTAAAAATGAATAATATATTGTGGAAACATGTCTGTGCAGGAGTGATTCCTAACTACAATAAATCTAAATTCATTTTAATGTCTTTCGAATTACAGCTGTGCTTTACTGGGACCACTGTGCTATGTAAGCCTGTAACAAAAAAATAGCCTTTGCTTCACAAGGTTTATCTATAACCTTCAAGTTTCTAAGAACATGTTAGAAATAGAAGTGGTAGAAATAATATTTGCACCTTGTTTTAAAAAGAAGATAGTATTGAAGTGTATTGTTATAGGTTAGGTTTATTTTTGGCTTGTAAAAATTCTATGCATAGTTACAAAACTTGAAATTCTACAAGCACATGCTAATATATGATTCATTACAACTGATACAAGCTAAAGCAAAAATACATATACTGTCACATTGCTCTGAGGTAATCATGAAAGCTCTTAATTTTCCCTGTAGCTTCAGTTTCTGATTTCCTCAAATGGTGGTTGCTCAGCTGAAGACAACTAGATGGGAGCTTCAAACTTGGGTGCCTAAAGGAGATTTTATAAAGCATTCACTAGTAGCCTAACTTCCCACTGACTTCAGGGACAGCAGAATTAGGTCAAGTTGGGTGCTTTTGAAAATACCTTTCCATCCCATCCTCTGCTTCCTGAGTTGGCAGCAAAAGCAGGCCTCCAGATAGAGGCTATGTTGATAACACGGACCTGATTGACTTAGTGCAAAAATTCTGTCCTCTTTTCTTGAAAATATTAATCTGATATAACTTTTCCTTATTGCATCAAAGTGAATGAAGGTAGTATAGGGTTAGTTTGGAGTGTCCAGCCAAATGTATAATCACAATTGCTCCTGGAGATAACATAATCTGAAATATGACTGTGGTATATGTTCCAGTTCTGGCTAGTATGCAATATTAACTGCTGCACATGGACTGGGAGTTTGTAGTAATCTGGGACCTCTGAGATACTTTTTAGTTATAACCCCACTCAGGCACCTTACATATTTTTCTCCTCTGACTTCAAAGAAAATCTCCATTCACTGTTTCCCTGGTACTCTGCAAAAAACATGTACTGCTCTCATCACATTCCTTGTTGCCTTTATAAACTTGAACGCCAGTCCTGAGCTGGGAAGGGAGGGGGCCAGAGCAGATAATCAAACTTCTTATGAAATTCTGGACTTTGTTATGAATTCAAGCACATGCCTTTGCAGGGAAGTCATAGCCTGTCTGTATCAGGTCTGACACAAAATGTCACTGACCAATTAACCCACCACTGAAAAATGAACAATTCCCAAAAGCAAACGGGAATTTAGGTACCAGGTTTTAATACATTTATTCTTATTCCAAAATAAGCTATATCATATCAACATAATTTGTTTTCTCTCCATCACTTGCCTGCCTCAAAAGATGAAGTGGCAGGACATATTCTAAAAGAAATTAATGTTACCTGTACCCTGAACTTTATTTCAAACTAATAAGCTACTTCTGAATTCTTGGATGTAAAAAATTGAAGATCAGATGATTTTATTCACAAAATAGACCAGAAAGCTGCCAAATTTGGCCAAAGAAGGATTCCATGCTGTTGCCTCAGTAGACTTTCCTGTGTTGGGGAAATGATCAGGGAGAAAAAAATATATAGGCTGTGCGCTTCCCCACTGCAAGGACTGTTACTGGCAAGAAATACCCCAGGGGCTTTGTTGCTGGCAGCCAAATGGAAGGTAAGGAAGCTCTGAGATTTAACTTACATCAAGAACATAGCTACAACAATGATGGTTGGACTAAAATAATTGCTCTTTACTCCCATCTTGCTAACTATGACAGCAGAACTTAACCATACTGAAGAATCAGACTGCTAGAATCTCTGAAACATTTCACAGAAACCTAGGATAGGTGTGCACAGTATTTAACAAAAAACCCTTTAAATTAGAACATGGAATATACTATTAAATATACACATCCATGTTAGGGTGACCATCATAGAGGAGAGTCTGGTTGTCCCTCCTCTGTTGATATGAAGCCAGATGCCTTCATGTCCTTTATTTTTCTCTCAAAAAGAAAAATAGAGGACATAAAGGCGTCTGGTTTCATAACAATAGAGGACAGAGGACAGAGTAGCAGAAAACGGGAATGTCCTCTATGATGGCCACCCTAATCCATGTGCATTTAAATTATAAACTGAGCATATAAAAATAAAGAGAATTCACTTAGTGAGTTTCTAAATTCCTACCTTTATCATCTGTTTTACAGCTTGCACAGTCTGCTCTGCCAAAATGTCAAAAGATTCACAAAGTCCTTCAAAAGCTAGGAAAATCCTCATCTTGAAAAATGCTGCTAAAAACTATAAAAGGCTTGGATAAGCTAACAAAATACATGCCTTGAAAAATTCATATCCATTATTAAAAACAAAGCAAACCAGAAGAAACTATAAATATCCAACCTAAATGCAGAGTTTCTTCTCTTTAAAGCAAATGCCTGCCAGAAAAAGCCCTGCAGTGACAGGCAGGACCAACACTAAGATACAATGCTGAATGTGTGTCTCTAGCGTCAATGAATAGGGAAATGTTCCCCCAAATGAATCCTTAATTAAACCAGCAAGCCACATATTGATTAAGGCAAGTGCGAACAAGTTGCAGACATGTACACACAGAATCCAAGGTAATTCTACTTCTAATATTGTGCCAACCATTCACACGTTTTTTTCAGGTGCTTCTTTTCAAAGCACTGAGCATTGTCAAATGTTAAGCTGGCAAATGTTACTTGGCAAATGTTAAACTGTTCTAATGTTTATTACTTAATGCAATTTTTTAAATGTTTTGTAAATACATTTAGGTGTCATTCATTTATATAACTGTAACAACTTCACACAACCATTCACATTTTTTAATTCACAGCAAGTGTGGAACATTAGATGTTTATATTAAAATGAACATAAGGACCAGTATTTTAAGGTATACAAGCTATTGCTATTGGGTAGGATATGTGAATAAGCATTAGGATTCCTGGATTAAGTTCCTTCACATTTCTATATATATAAAATGAAGTGTATGCCTGTATGTATGTCTGTATGTACACTGGTAACTCAAGAATGGCTGGTCCTATCTACTCTGAACCTTACAAAATCACTGAATACCATGCAAAGAAAATTATAGGTGGGTTATTTTTCACTTGACTCTTTTTGGGGCTTCCATTGACTGGGATTACTTCACATCTCAGATAAACTGGTACCACTCTATTTTGGATGCAGTGAATTCAGTTCAATTGTCATTAATATTTTGACTCTTGCCTTTTTTTCAACTCAGTTGTCATTATTTCTTGCTGCTTGTCTTTTTTTTTTTGCTCAACATTAAATATTAAATGTTAAATATGTTGAACTATGCTCTTTAAAAATAAGCAATATTTTTCACCTAAATATGTTGTACTAAATTCTTTGAAAATAACCAAGCACTGCAATTACAAAAATAACAACCTGGGCAAAGAACGGGCACTTCAGCTGGTCATTAATATATTCTCTAGCCTTGGAGAAGTGACTTTACCTTAGTTTATCCCATCTATTAAATGGTTACATATATTTACCTATGTCACAGAGCTCCTTGAGAAGAAATGGTTGTGTGTGGAATGCTTTGAGAACTTTAGCTGAAAATACTGTGTATAGTAAATGAAAAATATTGTGCTGCCTGGCATCTCACTCCAGAATTACTCATCTGGGGAAAGCTCACTGAAGTTAGTGTGACTATTTACATTGACTGCATAAGGTTTTGGACCAGATCCTGAGTTCTACTCTCCTCCCACCTCCATCTGGTGCCAACCCAAGTTAAATGGTGAGGTTATGATGAAAATAGGTTCTCTGCTTCACCCACTCCGAGTATTATACTGGTGAATGGGGAGATTGGGATGTCAGTGTTTCAGCTATCCTCTACTACCCATCCTGTCTTGTAGTTCTGTTATTTCTAAATTCTAGTATGACACTTGAGAGGCTGGAATGTACTTGCTGCTTGTGGCAACAAAACTCTGCCACAGCAGCAATGGTTTCTTAATTAAGGGCTCCTAAATATGGAACTTTGTACAAAATAGGTCTTTGAATTTTGCATCAAGCTTGGCTGCCTATATATAGTTTTCAGCATTCATTTGTACTAGTTCAGGGGCGGACAATTATTTCGGGCAGAGGGCCGCTTACCCAGTTTTGGCAGGCTGTCGAGGACTGCATGGGTAGCCCCACCCTTTTACAGGTGCCCCGCCCCCTTGGTCACCATCTTGGGACCAATGTTCCAATGTCTTGGGACCAGCGTCCTAGGGCCAGCACCGGTGGGACCCAAAGCGGGGCACAGGCTGGCAGGGGTCTGTGGAGCTGGGCTGCACCAGCAGGGAGAGGGGGGAGCTGGCCCAGCTCCATAGAGCCCCTGCCGGCTGGGACCCTGTGCTCCTGCCACCCTGCTCTGGGCCCTGCCGGCACTGGTCCTGGGACACCGGTGCAGGCCCTGTGCTCCCGCTGGCTCCTGCACCTTCTCACTCCCAGTGCCCCCCAGCCCCGTGGTACAGGTGGGGGGCAGCACACAGCCCTGACCCCCTGATCTCCAGCAGGAAAGAAGTTGGTGCTGAGCATGTGGAAAGGTGGCCCCTCGTCTGCCCCATGGCTGGCACTCTCTGCTGCAACCGCTCGCAGTCCACGCGGGGCTGTCCTGAGCAGGCACAGGCAGCCCCATGCAGGCTGCAAGCAGCTGCAAGCAGGGCGCCAGGTATGGGACAGGTGAGGGGCCGCTTTTCTCTGCTTTCAGCACCAGCTTGTAACCCACCTTGCTGCCAACCTGGGCCCCGCCGGCTCTGGGCTCGCCTATCGGGGCTGTGCATCGTGACAGCAGCTGCAACCCCCGCACTTGCCGCGTTGGCCAGTGTTTGCTGCTGCTGCCCATCCGGAGCTTGCATGCTGGGCTGCCCACAGACAGCGGTGGCAAACACTGCCCAGCATGGCAAAAGGGGGGGCTGCAGCTGCTGTTGCCATGCACAGCCCCGATGGGCGAGCCCGGGGCCAGCACAGGGCCCAGGCTGGCAACGGGGCGGGTTACAAGCTGGTGCTGAGTGCAGGGGGGGAAAAGCAGCACCTCGCCCACCCAGTGTTTGGTGCCCTGCACTGCAGCCACTTGCAGCCCACCTGGGGCTGCCTGTGCCGGCTCAGGACAGCCCCGCATGGGTTGTGAGCAGCTGCAGCAGGGAGCAAGAGCCATGGGGCGGGGCAAGGGCCACTTTCCTCCACGGCAGGAAGGAGCAGGGAAGGAGCCCAGGGAAAAGCTGCGCCCGGGAAAAAGCGGCCCCTCCCCTGCCCCGTGGTCAGTGCTCCCTGCTGCAGCTGCTCACAGCCCACCCAGGGCTGTCCTGAGCAGGCACAGGCAGCCCCAGGCAGGCTGCAAGTGCCTGCATCACAGGGCACCAGCCATGGGGCAGGCAACAGGCCGCTTTTCCCCGTGCTCAGCTTTTCCCCAGGCCACGTTTCCGCAGGCTCCTTCCCTGCTGGGGACCTCCCCTGCCCAGCCCTTACCTGAAGTTCTGGCGCGGTGCAGCTATGTGGTCCGAGGCCAGAAGCCCCTGCTGGGGCTTCCAGCTGGGGAGGCGGGGCCAGGGGGCCCCTGCTGTTGTGGGAGCCCGCCGGGCTTCCCCTGGATCCTACTGCCCCTGGTTCCTGTCATTTTTGGGCAGATAATTCATTTTCTAAATTTCTAAATATTCATTTTCTAAATATTCATTTTCTAAATTTTTAGGGGCCACATGGGCCAGATAGAATGGTCTTGTGGGCCGGATGCGGCCCTGCAGGCTGTATTTTGCCCACCCCTGTACTAGTTAGTACTAGTGTTTGGTCTAGCACTAGTATTTGGTCAAACTAAGGTTGGTGTTCTATGAAAAAGGTTAAAATGATGTTGCCCTTCTGCTGAGAAATAGATATTGGGCTCTTGAAAGCTGCTTTTCTATGTGAAAATCAGAAATGTAGAATCAGAGCATTTACTCAACATAATTTGTTTGTTTCTACTATATACTCAAGTCCTATAAAAGAAAACAAATGCAGGCACTCCAGAATCTCAAATCAAACACGTTTCCTTTCACCTCCCTTGAAAGCTCTAAGCGATTTCTCTCTAATGTGAACAAGGAGAAATCCAGTGATGTATATATAGCAAAACTTTTGTTCATTGTGCTTAGAACCCAGTATTACCCAGTTATTTGAAAACTCTTCAGAGGTTTGGTTTATTTTTAATTTGTTTGTTTTTATTTCTGTTCCCCAGAGGAGAAATAACAGAACTTTCAGCCAAAACTAAATATTCCTTTAGTCAAATTTGAGGAAATGTACATTTGTGCAGCACTGCTGAAGTAAGCTATTTTGCCTAATTCACTAAACTTACACAACTGAGTATCCTGTGTTAGTACCAGAACTGGTTCTTGGAGATTTCTTTTTTACCTCAAGGAGAAAACACATTGAGTTGCAGCTGTCACAACCCAGTGATTTTTTGTGCCTCGGCACTATGGAATTTCCTGGCCACATGAGAGCTCCTTTGCACAGCAGAGTGTTCTGCTGCAATTAAGAGCCTGCGTGCAGGAGAGTTCCCGCCAATTTGCAGTTTCCTTTGCAGGATGCATTTCTTCTTTGCAGCACAGAAATGCACGGTGCAAAGAGTTCCCGCTATTCGGATGCAGATTTGTGCCCCGCTATTGGCCAGTGCTAAATTATTCACACGTGGCGGCTAGTAATTGGCTCGCTGGCCGTTTAAAATTCTGCGCGACTTCCGCCCAAGTCGAAGAGCTTTGAGCACGCTGCAGAGTGCCTCTGAAGTTATCTGACTTGCGGCTGCCGATCGATAGACTGATCACCTATCGATCTTTCTTCCCGTCGCCGAGCGCAACCCCAGACGTACCCCTTTCCCTGCCGGCATCGAATTGCGGACGGATTAACTGGCTTGGGCCCCGCCAGCTGGAACAACTCGTGTGGTTGTTCCGACGACCGGACCACCTGTATCATGATTGCAAGCGGCGTGAGTAAAGTTTTTTGCAACCAATAAGTTGTGTCTGCCTCTCCATTCACCAGCCCGCCCTGACGTACGAGCGTAACTCGAGTCGGCCCTGGCCATCCGAGACAGCAGCCAGATCATACAGTCCTTACTCATGCAGGTAACATGCAGATAAATTCACTGTCTTCATTAGCTCTCGTTGTTAGGTATAGACTGTAGAATCAATCCTTTGGGATGCATAACTGTGACAGGCCCTCATCCTGCAGCATAGGGAGGCCTGCACCTGAGCCTACTTGCCCGCCACAACTTTGTTGCTCCCAATACCTCTGGTGGCATTACTCAGGGGGTCCTACATGGGATCAGGAATGACTTC